ATATATATATATATAAACTTAAAATAACACTAAAAGTTTCGCGTACGAACTAACAAATAATTTTATTGCGATAAAATAAAATAAGATTTAAATAAAATTCATATATGAATTAATTATTCGTATTATATTTAAATATACAATTTAAAACTATGGTTGAATTTAATAATAAATAATTCTAATACAATGAACCATTTTATTAACAAGAATGCATATAATATGGCTGACGCGAAAATACGATTTAATTGCACAATGGGAAAATATGATTTTGTTTATAAGAAATGTGAGTTGTAAAAAGGATTATTGTTCCCAAGATTATTTGTAATTACAAATAGGAACTTGTTTACGCATTTTATTTTTGTTGATTACGATTGTGATATTTTAACGATTTAAGAAAAGTCTACTGCATCTTACAATCTATATATATATAACATGTACATATATATATATATATATATATATACTTATTATGTATATTATGAGCTAAAAGAAATTTATTTTTTTTTATATATTCTTTTTATTTTATTACATATCTTTTTATTTTATTTTATATAATAATTTTTTAATATTTACTCTTCTTTTCTTTTCTTTCACAGAGCTACAAATATGGTAGATGTACTTTTTATGCGTCTTCATGAAGTTTATGAAAAATGGGATAGCAAGACGGATTTAAGAAGAAATAGCGGAACAGCATCAAGCGGAACAGCATCAAGCGGAACTTCGTCTCCATTTTCTGCAGGCGGTATGATAAATATATATATTTTGACAGAAACATATAACTCGTAACGCAGAAGTATTGTAAAAAAGTGTAGTTGCAAACAAAAAAAAAGAATAGAGAAAAGAAGATACGAACTTTAAACGACTTACTTGACGCACATGCAAAGATTGAATAATAATTCTAATAAATTTTTTTTTTTTCAATCGATTAATGTAAATATCGAATTTAATTTATTTATTGTGAAATAGAAACTGTAAATAAGAAACTATAAAGTAAGACAACTTACGTTTAAGATCTTCGACGTGCAGGACGAGAGTATCAAAGGAGACGTGATTTTGAGTGGAGGAATGAATTAAAATATTCGAGTTTGTACGATGCTAAGGTAGAGAAAGATTCGACAGTTTATTACAAGAGTTTACGTTTATTCGTACAACCTTATTGCAGTAGTTGTATACAACCATCTAAGGTAGGTGACAGTTTTTTCTTTTTCCTCATATGTGTGTGCGCGCATGTGTGCATGTATATATGTTTGAAAAATAGTCAAGTTATTTCTCTCTCTCTCTCTCTCTCTCTCCCCCCCCTCTCTCTCCCCCTCTCTCAAAGTTTACAAATATCATAATATTATTAAAACATGTTTAAAGCAAAAAACTTGAATATAAATGAAAGCAATTTAAATAATTTCTTAAATAATATATATATATATATATATATATTTCCTTGTATATTTATTGTTGTGTTGAAAATATTTCATCATTAATTCGTTCTCTATTAATTCCTTTTTAGAATTTTTCATGTAGAAAAGAAAGCAATGCACAGCCATACGGCGTGAATATGTTGACGGTAGATTCTGGTCCTGGATTGTTTTCTAAATTTTTTTGTCATTTCTTTTATATTTACGGATTGAAGACATATGATTATCCAAAATTAACGGAGACAGTAAGTAATATTAATATATATACTTTTTAATTTGTTAAGAAAGATTTGATTCTGAAACAATAAATATCATTTTTTTTAGGTATTGAATGATGATAAATTAAATGAAATCTTCAAAATAGCTGCTTGGGAAATAGCTAATAATGATGGCTATAGTGAAAAGCAGGCCATGACGAATGTTAAAGATAGAGCTAAAACAATACTTTTACAGATGGAAAGTAGAATTAGTAATATGCTACTTAAAATTACTGCATGGATTCTTTACAAATTATTACCTTGTTTCTTACGATCAGCTATTATTTTTCCACCACAAATAGAAGTATTAAAAAAGGCTAGTGATACTGGTTTGCCTTTAATTTTTTTACCTCTACATCGTAGTCATTTGGATTATGTTATGATAAGTTTTATTCTTCTTATGCATAATATCAGAAATCCATTGATAGCTGCTGGTGATAATTTAAGAATTCCTTTTTTTGGGTATGTTTTTCTTTTCTAACGTGTATATGCATGTCAATGAAAGATAATTTATAAATAAGAATTATTTAAATTTCCAATAGGTGGCTTCTTAGAGGTTTAGGTGCTTTTTTTATAAAACGCCGTATTGACCCATCTGCAGGTCATAAAGATATTCTTTATCGTGCTGTTCTTCATACATATATTATAGAAAGTCTTCGAGCTGGTCATAATATAGAATTCTTCGTGGAGGGTGGTAGAACAAGAACTGGTAAACCATGTATGCCAAAAGGTGGCATCCTAAGTGTGATTGTCGACGCCTATATGGATGGTATAATTGATGATGCTTTAATAGTACCAATTGCAATGAACTATGAACGTCTAGTAGATGGAAATTTTGTGAGAGAACAATTAGGACAACCCAAAAAAATGGAAACATTTGGATCAACAATGAAAGCTATATGGTCTACATTAATGGGAAATTATGGCATTGTCAAAATTAATTTTTGTGAACCATTTTCACTTAGTGTAAGCAAAAAATATTAAATCTAATAATTTTCTATTGTATATAATAATCTAAAAATTATATACAATTATATACAATTATATACAAATAAATAACATATTATATATAAAAATTATATAACATATTATATACAAATGTCTAAAAATTTATATTTATATAATGTATATAAATTTATTTATTTATTTATGTTACTAGAAAATGTTGAAGTCGTTTCAGAAAAACCAAAACAATGTAAAACATCAAACGGGAAAAAAGATTCTCAAGCACACAATGTCCAATTCATCTCTATATGGAACTGATTTCGTAGCAGAAGAACATCGTCAATTAGTTGATAACATTGCGCGTCATGTTGTATATGGTGTGTAAAATAGATTATATGTAAACTGTTGTTAACATTTTAATCGAGGTTGATTAATAATGATTAATTTACTTTTCAGATTGCTTTCAATCTACTCCTATTATGTCAACAAATATTGTTGCTCTCTTACTTTTAAATAAATTCAGAGATGGATGTACATTAGACGAATTGGTGAAATCATTTGATGTAATCAAAAAAAAATTTAGATACAAAAACGTGGATATGGCATTTTCTGGCAAAACCATTGACATTATAAATCATGCAGTTAGGAACATAAAATTATTTCTTCTTTGAAAATTATAAGTTAATGAGAATAGAGAAATACGTAAATTTCTTATTTTCAGTTGGATATCTTGGGCCCAGAATTAGTTAAGCAACAACAAGAAGAAATAACAGAAGCTGTGGATGGGCAGCTTATCAAATCAAATGTCATTGTAATTCGTCCCGTATCGATATTACCAAATTTAATCGAATTATCATATTACAGCAATTCTATGATATCTTATTACATTATGGATAGTGTTGCAGGTAAGAACATATTTCATCCCAAGTTCATATTATTTTCTCATGTATCTTATATTTTCAGTGACAGCTTTGTATGCTGAATTGAAGTCTGAAAAAAAAGATCTAATGACACTTTCTAAAGAGGATGTAATTAGTATTCACGAAGATGATTTTCTTAAAAAAATACTTAAACTTTGTGATATATTAAGATATGAATTTATTTTTTGCAAACCTTGTGACACACTTAATAACGTCGCTACGAATATTATACGAAATTTTTCATCGATATTTGTTTCAGATGTAAGTTTATATAAAATTTGAGATACTATTTTATTATAATAAAAATTATATCGCAGGAAATTCATACGTCAGACCAATTATGGACTAGAAATTATTTGGGATCTACTCATTTTTTTTCACATGATGATTATTCAGGAAGATCTATATACAAAGTGAAGAAATGTTTTTTTCGTTTTAACATAAAATTATTAATCTATTGATCATCAATTTTTTCTTATAATTGATTTTATTTTACAGCTTAAAGTAAATCCGGCTAGCATTAATATAATGGAATTTTTACATTCAATGTTACGTCCATTAATTGATACATATACATTGAGTGCGTATACTTTGAGAAAATTAGTGAGAAGATCTTTATCTGAAAAGGTTTTGCTTCATGAAGTTTTAAATGAAATAAAAACGAATTTGGATAATGGCATCATTAATTACGGTAAATAATATTTAATAAAAATCTGTTTGTTTAATAAGAAAATTTTTATTTATTAAAAAAACTTATGTTATTATTTCAGCTGAAAGTTTGTGTGTTGATCCTATTAAGAATTCTTTTAAACTTTTTGAAAAGTTGAATATCTTAGAATGTGTTCCTCAAGGAAATGTTAAAATATTTTATTTAAAAGTAGACTATGATACAGATGTAGCTATAGAAAACTTTTATCAAGATATAGCAGCATTTAAATGGACCAGAAGTACAGAATAATGATTTCTTTTCATATTACCAATATAAAATTATATAAAATATTGTATATAGGTTTTCTAAGGTGTGAACTATATTTTGTAAGACTTTTTAAATGATATTCTGTAAATTTATAAAAAAGATGTCAAAAATCCTCCATGACGATATGTATACAAAGTTAATAGTTCGTACTTTCTTATTGAAATATGTTTGTACAGTTACAAGGTTTACTGTGTGAAGCTTATATGATATATGTGTATATACACATATATATATACTCACACACACACACATACATGAGTTTTCAACTGTATCATAGCAAATGCGTGTCAAACTCATAATATAATATTACAATATGTTTTACTGAATATCAATTTATAATTATTCCATTGATAAAAATACTATTATTTTATTTTGTTTAAACCTCATTCAGATTTATTTTTTATGAATAAAATAACAAACAAAATAACTCAAAAAATACGAGTAAAATTAAAATATAAATAATGAAAATAAGGAAAAATTAGTTCTAATAAAAATATTAAAATTTGATAGCTGATGCCATTGGATAACTTCGTCTTAAACCCAGACACTTTTCTCTATCTATAAACAACGCATCTATTTTAGATTTTAAATCTATTTCTAAATTTGCTCTCGTAGACAATAATTGCTGATGTTGAGCTTCAAAAGTTTGTAATTTTAAATTCATATCATGTATTATTATATTTATTGTTTCTACTTCTTTGATCATTCTGTAAAAATGATATAAAACAAAATGATGAAATATTTAGAATATAAAATAAGTCAAAAACTATATTTCATAGTTACAATAACAAACCTTAATTGAGCATAGTCTTTACATGATTCAGCTTCAGGTCTGTGTGATCTAGCTTCAAGACGTGTATGTGCAACTTTTAAAGCATTACTTTTATCTGTAATTGCTTTCTGCATCAATTGTAGATTTTTTTCAATATAGAAAAGTTCTTCTTGAATCTATATTACATAAACATATATATTTTATTAATTATTATAAAAATAAAATATTTCATATATAAAAGTAGTACAGTGTAATAAAAATGTATAATCATTAAATATGCTAGAACAAAGATTTAAAAATACTGAGCTCTATTTATTTCAAATAAAAATAAATTAATTTTTAATTTCAATCATAAATAATATAACTATTGAAAAAGTAGTTTTATATAATCAAGATTTGCTTATAAATCCATATAAAATTTACTTTGTATAAATGTGATTGCACTTTCCCCTTTGCTTCTAGCATCTCTGCTGCTCTTCTGCCTAATGCATTATTAGTCTCACCCCAGGCTTCCCACATATCCAGTCCAACTCCATTTATAGCAATTTCAATGTCATTTCGAAGTTGATTAGATTTTAATCTCTCAGATTGGGATTTTTTGACTGTATTATTTGATGCTTCTGCCCATGACTCGGCTTCTGTGACACTGAATGAAAATTCAATCATTTATAAGACTTAAAGAAATATTGATACAGGATACAGATAATTTTTTTTTATAACTACCTAGAATCATATTTTTCAATTCCACCATAATATTGTAAGCCACGACTAAAATTGTTTAACTGATGACACATAGTATCAATGCCAAGCGCAACTTCTTTATTTCTTATATCGATTTCTAATTGATTTTGTACTGCTCTACCGTCAGAAAGCTAAAAAATAAATATAAGAGATGCCAATTAATTTATAAATATAGAAAATAAGATACATCAAGCATTAATATAGCTGTTATTATGTACTTGGTTTATACATTTTTCTGTAAATTGTTCTAAATTTTTCTGACAATTTCTTACAGTTTCAACTTCTTTAAGAAGCGCATTTTCAGCCTGATCGTGTACTAAATCATTACCTATTGATATTTTAGATAAGTGAAATTTAATATAAAAGAATTATAAATATCAATTAATACAAATAAATAATATCATTGACGACGTGATACCATGAACCTGTTCGAGATTCGCGATAATAGAGACACTCTTGAGCTATGTGTAATTGTCCTTCAAGATTTTGAATAGTTTGTTGTAAATTCCGACGACAATCTTGCATTTTTCCATTTTCAATTATTAATCTTTGCAATTCTGAATTTACTTCATTTCGCCAAAATGAAGTATCCGTAATTCTTTCACCTAATTTACGTCCTGTATCCATTTGTCCTTCTTGTACCCTTTCATCTGCTTCTCTATACGAGTATCATTATTTAATATATAAATAACATACATTAAACATTATTAACTTATATTATTTTATTCTTATTTTACCGCATGAGTCGTGCAGTATCCTTTCGTAAGTTCTCCGAATAATTTCTATTAGCATTTGCTTCATTATAAAGTCTGGTTTGATTCTGTACCCAATCATATGGAGTATATCTTGTATATAATGCAGTACGTGCTGCATGAGAAGGATTTCTATCAAAGCCAGTTACTAGATTTGGAAATTTCATGGCTTCTGTTGCCATACCACCTGGCATATAACATGGATCCACAAGTTGATTTGTTATAGGTTGCTCAGGTCTAAGAATATTGGAAGTTTTAAGAAATTTTTAAAAGACATTTATTTACTTTAAAAACATAATATAAACACACACACATATATATATATATATATACACATATAACGTCTTACAAGGGTGATGCTTCTATAATTTCATAACCCAATGTTGGTCGCCAAGGATGTGGACGGGGTGTTTTGTAAAACTCTCCAACTCTGACTGGAACTGGCGGTCCAGCAATTTGTTCCATACAAGGAAGTACTCCCACCGTGCTCCATGGTTGAAGTTGCTACAATAACAATGATTTATATAAAATACAATATAAAAGTATTATAATAAAAATGACTTGCAATTTAATTACAGATAATACATACAGAATAAAATATAGTTTCTTTTTTTTCATTTCCTGTCTTCGTATTATTCATTATGATTGACGAAGTCAATTAATTATATAATAATAATAATACTATAAACAAATTTTATATTATATAAAAAGTGTATTTATTAGACAAACATTTCTATATCCTTCTTTCTTAATTTATGCATACATGTGCGTATGTGTTATGCAAATATATAATGTACAATTAACGTTCATCAACTTCGTAAGACAATTAATTATCTTATTAAATACTTATATCTTCAAATTATGATAAAATGATGATGTAATTTTGTTTGAAATCCGGAAACGGGTGTGTGACGTATCACGTGCCCTTGTCACATGATCGAGATTCGAGATTCCGGTCAGGTGCTCGATTGCCTTCTGCTAAGAATCGTAGATAGTTGGTATTCGCCTCGCTCGTTGGATTTAACAGTGTTAATCAAATTGTTTTGTTTTTTTTTCAAAAGAATTTATTATCATGACAGTACCACGTCGTACATTAATTTTAACTTTTTTAATTATAGTATTGTGTAATATTTTTACGGCAAGGTGTAATATTTTTTCGGGCGATGCAGTACCTGTATTATTATGGGGTATCACACCCGAATTTGATTCTCGTCCAAGCGCAGTCAATCCACTTTCGAAAACCTCTCAAGCGGAATTTAATCAAATTTTGAATAGTAAAATAGATAATTCACGACCACCACTTCTTGTTTTTGTGAAAGATAGTTTATGTGTTGAAGATCTAACCCAACACAAGGAAGTTAGTGGCTTTGATAAATTTGATAATTTAATACTGTACAATATAATTTGTAATATATTAATTTTGATCGATTGACATTTAAGGATCTTCGACAAGTGACAAATAGAAGTCTATTGGCTTATTTATCTGCAGTTGAATCTCCCCTTTCTGTATTCGAAGATTTTCCATCATATAATCAAAGTTATGATGATAATGTAGACTCTTTATCGGATGGCCAATTGTTAATTAAGCCAATCACAACTTTAGATGTTATTTCTGAAATATATAGAAATATCAAAGATACTACACCAAATTTAATTGCCGCACTTACAGGAAGATCTTGCGGTTATAGTCGTTCTGAACGTACAAGAAGAGCAAACGTAGAAAATAATTCTGATACATATAAAGATTCTAGTCCAAATGCTCCAGTTTCTACATACAATAATGGTTGTAATGTCAGTTTCAATTCTAATGAGTTCATTGTCAGAGGAGAAAGAGTACTTTTATATGGAAGTCAGTTTCCACTTATAAAGGTAAATTTATACATTCAATTATTTGTTACTTGAAATAATTAAGCAAAAATTATGATAATACTTTTATTGCAGACTAAGGACATGGATTTCAAAAACTTTACCAACGTAACATTGTGCAAAGAAAGTTTTGATCAAACTTCTAAAAATATTAATTTAGATTTAATGTTTAATGGAATTGATACTAAAAAATCTGAGGTAGTCCTTCAATTTAACATTAAAAATCCATCATCTGGTTATTATTCTATAAAAAGTATAACTTATAAACCAAATAATATGAATCCTGAGGTATTAACGCCTGAATTAGATATAGTATTTCCATTTAATTTTTCTTATCATTGCTCAAACGAGATAATATTTTTAAAAAATACCACTATATTAAAAATCCCAAATATGCAAATACAAATTGATGCAAAGAAATTTGGAGATGCATATGACTGTGTTAATTTTACTACAATTCCGATCTGGACAGGAATTTTTGTTACTACCATATTAGGTTCAATTATGATTTGGGCATTCACAATGATTATTGATATTCGTACTATGGATAGATTTGATGATCCAAAAGGTAAAACTATTACTATTTCTGCCCAAGAATAAGATTAAATATAATGAATAAGATATTTATATAATATAAATTGTAAGTAAAAATGTGTTAGGATATATTAAAAACATGAAAGTGTGTCATAATGTACTATTACATTGTTATGATTTAGCATGATTTCACAATTTTGGCAATATATAATATCCTCTTATGCAAAACTTCGTCTATGAAAAATTATATACGGACTGTGTTTCATATATTTATCTAGTATTAGCAAAATCAAAATGTAAACGAAATTTATCTTACAGAAATCTATATACCATTCCACTTGTATAATAATATATCATTTACAGTATTTATATCTTTAATGATAATGAATAATAATGTTTGAAAAATATAATAGATATGCACATTATATATCAGATAGAAAAGATCTGTAAATTATTAAATAAAAAAATTTAATTTATAGCTTGTTTCAACTAATATAAAATATATTGCACAGTGATAGTGAACTTTTTGAAGATTTGTCATAGACCGCATATTTACATATTTTTGTTACATATATTAATGAACAGTCTAATATCTTGTAAAATAAATTATAAATGTCTTGTTGAAATTTACAATTTCCAAAAAAAAAGAAGTTGTTAGTAATCTATAAAGTATTTTAGCGTAAAATGTTGTTTATTTGTACAATTTTCTTTGTCATAAATGACTTTTATTTTATTAGAAAAATGTAAAATATATATATGTATATATAATAATAAAGTCATTAAATTGTAATATTATGAAATACATGCAGGAACATGAACTCCATGTATTACCATAAATACCATTGAAAATGGTGGTAGAATAATTATTTGGGTAGGATTCATAATTATAGGATGGAAAGGCGGTAATTTACCATCATTTTGCAGTTTCAATATTTCTCCATTCATTCTTATGTTTCTATAAATAAATAATAAATAATTAATAACATATTATTAATATAATTTGAACTAGCAACTATTGTACCTCTTTCTATACTATAGTATATATATGTATATATATATATATATATTGTAAAAATATTTAATTTTTATTTTTAATTTAATTATCATACGTTATTGTTAAAATTTAGCATTTGTATAAAGAGCATATAATAAATATATTTAATACAGTCGAACCTCGGTAACTTGAATCTTAAGGGAAGAGCTAAAATTATGAAAAGGTTTTGTTTTATCCAAAATTTTCAATTAAGAAAAGTTTAACGAACGAAAACGTTTAGCTTACAAAGATTTTCTTGTAGATAGGTTTATATTTTTATTTTAATTATAAAGACTCGAAGAAAAATAAACTCAATGTTTAGAAATCAATTAAGTTCCTATTAAACTTGCGGGGGTTTTGTGTGAAAACGGAGCGAAAAGAGATAAAGAAAATTCTAGTATTATAGAAATATTCGAGTTATAGAGGATCGATTGTATTATTATTAAACCATATCTAAAGGACAAATATAGAGAATTTGATATTTTTTTAAATTAAGATAATATATCTTGCATGCATACCTTGAGGTCAGGTGATCAGATGTTAAACTATATAGAAAAATTTTTATGTTTTTATTTAGCCTATGAAAGATCCCTTGAATTATGATCTTTGCAGAAGATTTATCTAGATTCATTCCGTATATAGTAATAGCGGGAACACGATTTATCAAAGATGCTTTTGGTGTACAATGTGCATAAATCCTAATGTACTCAGAAGATTTTGGAGATAATATCTTTAATACTTTCTCAGATACAAATTGTTTGTATATCACACTAATCCACCAATCTGGATTTGGTAAAAGATCTGGTCCAATCATAGCATAATATCCACCAAATAAGGATTGTCTTATAACGACATTTATACCCGTTTTAGCACTGTATCCTAATTTATCTAACCACAAAAATCCTGCAATATATCTATCCGATAAACCTGGAGCCCCTCCGCCATATGCTGAACTAGTCTCAGCTGTAAATTATTTTATTTATTATTTATTATATCTCATTTGGTATTAAGATATATTAAATATTTTAATACAACATACACAACCACATAGAAATGGATTTTCTTGATTTTTTAATAGTTTTTAACATGCTATCAATTTGTATTGGCAAAAAATAGAATGTTGAAGGATTTATAAAATCGTTAACTTGAGCTTTATGTCCATTCAAATAATATTGATGCCAAGTAACATAATTAATACTATCTTTATCCTTCTCCAAAAATATTTCTGCGTAAGATTGACCTTTATTGGAATCTCCAATATGATTTACTTCTGGTCCAACAAGAAAGCTTTTTTGGTAACCTACTTTATTTAATAGATTACGTAGTTGATAATAATCTTTTGCAAGTTGTTCCGCCGTTATCGTTCTATTAAATACATGATGAAATGAATTTGGTTCTGCAATTTATAAATATAATAGATCCGTTCGATTATACATTTTTGTTTTATATAAAAAAGAATATAAAAATTTATATTAATATCACCATTTCCTAATTGCCAATCTAGATTCATTTTCGATCCTTTTGCAAATAAAATAATATCTTGAGCATTAGTATCATCCCAAGTACCATTTGGATATCTAATTAACACATTCAAATCAAAAAGCATCCTTAATCGGGATTGTATCGTAAATTTGTATAACGATTCAAAATCCATATTAGTAATAGTAAAGTTACTAATATCTTGATCATCGAAGGGACTTATTATTCGTGCAGATGTTGTATGAGTCTGAATTAATTGGGAATATATTTAAATTTTAATACATTTAAATATAAATAAATATAAATTGCGCGTGTGTACACCTGTGTATGTGTATGTGTATGTGTATATATATATGTATACGTTTATACATTGTATAATTTGAATGTAATTTATGTAAAAAAAAAAATAAATGATTGAATAAAACAAACCTGATTAAAAAATAAACAATCGGCCGATGTTCCTCCAATCCTAATAAATGCAGGATTTAAATGTCGCGCCAAATTAATAAATCTTTCGTCCGAGATTGGAAGTTTTTCCATGTTCCTCAGTAGGGATGTATCGAGTCCAAAAGATAAAAATTTTTTAGACGTTCGCGTAAGTATTTCATTCGTATGAAGATAAAATATAGATACTTTGCCCTTATCATACTGATTGAAATTCCAAAATGAAAATATTATTAAAGCCGAACAAAAGCCAAGTACAATAACGTTAAGGACGGTCCGTGTTGTTATTGTCGTTGTGCCTATAATCATTAATTACAAATTATCTCCATTTAATGATACTATTTGTAAATTATATAATAAATATAATATTCTTTGTAAATAAAGTCCAAAAATTTATTACAAATGTTAAAATTTCATTCTTTTTATCTTCAATAAAATGTAATACATTGTAAAATTAGTATTAATAATAAAGTTAATAATAAAGTAACATAATTGTTAATTAAAATAATAAAAATCTATATTTTATAAATCATTTATGTATATATATATATATATATATATATATATATATATATATAAAAGAATAGTATGAAATTTGAAGTTAGAAATAATGACTTTTTAAGTAAAAATATTTATTAATATAAAGCTTACTTTGATGGGTGCGTATGTCATTTAAATTTTGATATTGAGTTTTATTCCAATCGTTACTCGCAAAGTAATTCATTGCCATAGTCATGCTTAGAATAATTGTTAATTGTATTAGATATTAAAACTTTATATCGGTAAAAATAGAATTGCAGTTACATTAACTGTTAACGATGAATGGTACGAAACGATCACAGCGCCATCATTCTTTTCGACCGCGATTGTTTAAAATATGATTAATTTTTTTTTTGTTCTAGAATTAAATTAATTATTCATTTTTATCCTTCGAGATAGTAACATTATGTTCTTGTTTCATGTAATGAACTTTTTCATTTCTTGCTTTTAACTTTCCTGAAATATACAATTTTTTATTTATATAAATCAAAATATATTAATAAATTGTAATTGAATTTTTAATTATTATATATTATTAATAATCTATAAGCAAAGAGAAAAGAAAAAAAAAATAAAGATGCTTTGAATTTTTTTTATCTAATTGTAAGTTGTTGATAAAATATTAAAGACATTGTCATTAAAGATCAACTTTTATATATGTTTTATTACGATTTCGATAAGCTGAACTGTATCTACGCTTTTGTCTTCCAACTAATTTATACTTTGATTCTGTATTACTTAATTCATCCTCTGCCCAAAATTGTAAGTCTGTATCATCTGATATACGAGGTGTAGGCACTGAAGGCTTTAAATTATATATATATATATATATATATATATATATATATATATATATATATATATATATATATATATATATATATGTATATATATATTTACAATATTTATTGTTTCATTTATAATTTTTTCTTGTATTTATTTTCTTCTTAACTTACAGCTTCTCCAGAAGTACACAAGTATTCTTTATTTTTAAGATTTAATTGCGACATTAATAGAATTGTTTTTCTTACAAGAGACAGATAATTAGTATAACCTTTGCAATCTTTAAAATGATATATCATATTTTTTTTACCCATACAGGTATAACGACCCATTATTTAAAGGAATTTTTGCTATACATTTTATTTTATCGTATATTAATTATTTGTACTTGTCATGTTTCAATATACTAATGAATTTACAACTTATGCACACATATTTCTTATTGACATATTTAAAAAAAAAAAAAAAAAAAAAAAAAAAAAAAAAAAATATATAGGAGCTATTTACTCCTTTCTTTTTTTTGTTTTTGTTTTAGTAGTTAATCTTATATTTTTAAATAAGATTGAAAAGAATCTATATTATTACATATATATATATATATATATATATATATATATATATATATATATATATATATATATATATGTAATAATATATTTAAATTGAAATACTGGACTAATATATAATTCATGATAATATCTTTTATAGACTTCCGAATTTATATCTAACTCATTTTTTAAATTGTAATGTAAAGAATTTCTATGATACAAAAAATAAGATAATCTTTTTCTAATAAAAATAAGATCAATTCTTTTTCTTAAGCCTAATCATTTTCTGATTTTCTGCGCTTTTTAGAGCGAGGACTATCAGTGTCATGTGGACTTGGAGTAATATGACTTCTTTTCCTTTTTACACTACTTTCACTAGCTTCGCTACTGCTACTTGCTGCAGTTCTTGTCTCTCTACGAAACGTTCCCTCTCCTGTTACTTGAACTAAAATCTAAAAAACAATATTCATAGAACATTATTGATACAGCGTTTAATATAATTTAAATATATTTAATAGTAATTTTTATGTTATTCTTTATATTTACCTGCATGTGTTGTAAACATTCTTCTTGCATAGAAACTGCCATTTTATATATAAAAGTATCATGTTTGTTATACATAATAGCATTTTGAAACATAAGCATAACATCTCGTTGAAAATGTGTAGTTGATCTGATTGTCCCATTGTCTATATTCTTTTTTATGGTTGAGAGATCCATAGGTCGAAAAATAACAGAATGATATCCAGGTGCTTGATCTTCCGTAATAGGCCTTAAGAATACAGACGCATATTTATGTGTAGCTAGTCGATTATAAACCAACATAACTGCTTTCTTCCATGCTCTGTAATCAGCACCTTCTCCGGTGCTTTCATTTTCTGTTTCACTATCTACAGCAATAGTTTGTTTTTTTGAATATGTTTTCATAGCACGCCCACCACTTAATTTGCTTAAAGAAGATTCTTCTTCATCTAATTCTGCAGTTTCTTCTCCTGCACTGATAATGGACTCTGTAGTAATTTCTTTTTTTATAGTTGGTTCAGTTTCTATACATTTTTTATTACCATCTTTTTCTTCTTTTATTTGGAGCTCTTCCTTTATTAGAACTTTTTCTTCAATAAAAGAATCCGTAATTGGTACAGTCTCTTCTAATTTTATTTCTTCTTTTATAATTAGAGACGCATTTTCTGTCTGTTTTGTGTCAAACACATTTTCTGTGTTAATAGATTCCATTCTTGTATGAATAACCTCTTCTGATGTAATGTCTTGACATGATTCTACAGCTATAGTCGATTCTTCTATTTCTTCTTCTTTTATTTCAATACCAGGTAAAGTTGAACTGACCGTATCTTCTGAAAAATCTTTTGTATCTTCTTTTTTATATTCATCTGTATAAATTTCTAAAGTGTCTTCTGTAGTTACGTCTTGTGATTTTAAAGATAATTCATCAGCTACTTCAATAATAGTTTTTTCTTTTATTAAAATAATTGGTTCCTCTTTATATGATTCTAATGATTCTGTACTTTCTATCGTATTCTCAATAACCTGTTCTTCTGTTATTTTTTTCTTATTTTCTATGCTATGAGAGCTCTCATCATCTTCTAAAATCAAACTAATATCTTGTGACTTTTCTGTGTCTTCGGTACTCGGGACATCATTTGTTACTTCCGAGGAAACACTAGCAGCTTCGGCAGATGGCACATCCTGCTGTTCCCCAGTGATTTTTGCAAGATGTAATTCTAATTGATCTAATTCCAAACATTCTTTATTTTCTATTTCTTCAGAAGATTCCTTTTGTTCTTTTGTATTATCACAGGATTCTTCTTTTTCAGATATAACCATTTCTTCTTCTTCTACTTCATCTATTTCTTCTTCAATAGTACCTTCACCATTTTCTTTTACATCAGGTGTCTTTGAATCACTTTCTTCTGTTTCTACATTTGATACCGAATCTAAAATATCAAGATCTTCAATAATCTGTTTTTCCTCCACCGTTGTATTCGTTTTATTATCTTCAACATTATTTTCTACTTCTGAATTAATTTCTTCATTTGGAATTACTCTTTCATCATAAGTATTTGCTTCTGATTTCTCTTCTTCTTGGGAATTAGACACAGTTTCTGATATTTCTGCAATAATAACTTTTGATTCTGATGATTCTATGGCAACTGTTCCTATAATCTCAGCAATATTAGAAGTACTAGAATCTATTTCTTCAATAGCCATTTCTTCGCTATGTGGAGAATCAGAGAGTGAAACAGCTTCATCGACATCTCTAGGCTCTGAACGTTCCTGTATCTGTGTAATGTCCTGAGATTGAGGAATAGTAAGACTATTAATTACTGTATTTGTATTAACAGAGTCTAAAGTTTGTGGACTGCCTGTTATTTCTTCTTTTATTAATTCTTCTATATCTCCAATAATTTCATTTATTTCATCCTTATCTATCACATCTGACATTATATCTTTTCTAATTACATTGTCTATTATTTGTACCATAGTTTCTGATACTGGTATATTTGTTGTGGTAGGGATCGTAAGTGTCGCAGATGGTACAGTTACTTCATTTTGAATGGATGTTTGAGAAACTGGATTTTGGATATTATGAACTTCTGTAGAAATATTTTGTTGCGATACTATGGTTGAAGGTATCTGTAAATTTGGTAATGGACCTCTTTGAGGATTTGTAGGCATTTCTAGCAACATTGAAAGAGTCGGCGCGCCAACTGATGGTCTTTCAGGTATAACATTTGTTATTTGAGTTGGTACCAATTGATGCATAGAAGATACACTTTGCGTCATTTGTGAATTTGGTATTTTAGGACTAGATCCAAGAAGACTGGTAATAGTAGGAGAACTTATTTGTGCAGTTGATGTTGATGTTTGTATCTGAGTTGTTGGACTAGGAGACTTTAATAGACTTGTTAATAATGGAGAACGACCACCTCTTCCTTTCTTTTCATCATCTTCCGTTGAAATATCAGATGATTCTGGTAATTCTGCAGATGTTTCTATTGCTTTACGTTGATTTCTAACAGAGACATTTTGTGAAACCATTATTTCTTGCTTTTGTTGTCGTTTTACAAGCCAAGCAGAATGTGCTCTAGCTTTTTGTTCTTGATCACGTTCCTCTTGCTCGATAGTATGCCACATTTTTTGTAATTTTTCTTCTGTTATAGAACCTGATTTTAATAGGTTTATTTCTGTTTTAAGCTGTTGGTATTCATCTCTTTGAAAAGCTAATATTTGGCCTAATTCTGCTATTCTTTCTTGCGTTAATCTTCTAACAATAGATTCTCCCGTAGTTTCTCCACTTTCTCTTTTTTTCCTTTTTGGAGTGTCTGCATTTTCTAGAAGATATGCATATTGTATCGCACAAGACTTTTGAGAAAACCAATCAGGTGGTCGTAATGCTTCCTTTTCTGCAAAAGGTTTTAAAGAACGTGATACACTCATCCAGTTTTGATCTCCAGATTTTAATACACTTGATGCTAAACATAATTGCTCGCGAGTACTCCATGTATCGCATGATATGCGTTTAAATTTCAGTCCTGAAAATTTACGTTAATAATAAATCATATGTTCTTATAAAAGATTTACGTAGAAAAATCTTAGGTTAGGAAATATAATAACAACTTAATTTTTATATTAATAAGTTAATAAGTAATAGTAACATTTAACCAAATTTGTATTTCATTTAAATAACTCCACATAAAAAGATTAAATGTTATGTTATTGCAAAAATATCAAACATTTATTATTACATTAAAATGTTAACCTTAAAATAGTAATCTTTATTTTTTACGCGAATAAAGATTTGTCATATAAACTTACTGTCTTGTACCGACGTCATTTTGTTTAAATAAAATATTGTATCATTAGTTTGTTTGTAATTATTAATTATTTTGATTACATTTAAATAAAACAATTAAAGCATTTCATTTCATTATAACTCTAGAGTCACCGTTATGTTATTAAAACTTAGTCATTGAACTAAAATAATGGAACGCACGGAATTGGAAAGTGTTCGTAAATATATCAGTATTTTAACAATTTGAAGAATAATTCTAAATTATATTATGTTTAATAATAAAAAGTATGTATTCGAGAAGAATATTATGTTTTTATACGTTTTTTTTGGTAGTCCATTTAAAATTCCATGGAGTGTTTAGTATAATATATTATGAATATGATCAAAATAAGATCACAACTGGAAACATTTAATATGGAAGCTTAATCGGAGTTTCCAATGCAGCCCAATTGAATTACTTAAGCGTTTAAAAATAGGAATACGCGGAATTGAACTGTGATGGTTAAAGCAAAAGAAACTGTCAAAGGATGTTGTGGTCATATATGTCAATATTAAATTGTTCGCGATCAAGTTTAGTTTCTTAAAATTATAATAAAACGCTAATGAATATACGTGGAGCATGTAAAATGAAAGAAATAATAACACGCACAGTATAGTTACTATATAAATCATAACGAATTTATCGTGTTACTGACTGCATTACTGTGTATTACGTGTCTTGTTATAAATTTAATATTACTATTTTATTCAAATACATAAAAATGAATAATCGAAGGCGCACAAATAATTTCACGTATGTTAGTTCATGTGTGAAATATATGATATTTACTCTAAACTTTGTATTCTGGGTAAGTGAACGTTATTATATCCTTAATCAGACTATTTTATTAGATTGATATATAAAAATGATACCATATGTAGAATTGAATATGAATTTTATATTTTGATTACACAGTTATTTGGTGGTCTTTTAATTGGAGTGGGTCTGTATGCCTTTGTTGATAAATGGCAAGCAACTGGTTCTGTAAGAGTGGAAAATGTATATGATGTAATATTGAATATCTCACTAGTAATGGTAATAGCTGGAGGAGTTGTGTTTGTTGTCAGTTTTGCGGGATGTGTCGGTGCGCTTCGTGAAAATACCTGCCTACTTAAATTTGTTAGTATTATGCAAAATTAATTTATATTAGATCCTATCATATATTTTGTCTTATATGAAAATATTACAGTATTCGTTATGCCTGTTGGTTTTTTTCCTCCTTGAAATGGGTGTTGCAATAGTTGGTTTTGTATTTCCACATACGTTACAATCTTTATTGGAAGAATCTTTTACTGAAAAAATTATTCAAACGTACAGAGAAGATCCAGATTTGCAGAATTTCATTGATTTTGGACAACAAGAGGTTAATTATTTATCTTAATGTTATTTGAAATAAAAATAATAAAAATTTTTTAATCACATCTACTTTTTCTTTTTATAGTTCAAATGCTGCGGTTTAAGTCAAGCTGGTTATATGGATTGGGGTAAAAATGAATATTTTAATTGTTCCAGTCCTAGTGTTGAACATTGTGGTGTACCATTTTCTTGCTGCATAAATGCTACAGATATTAGTGTAATTTTTTTTAATTTCATCAATGAAAAATTATATTTAAAACATATTTACATATATTCAATATTATTATTTGCAGAGCGGACTCGTAAATATAATGTGCGGATACAAAGACAAAGTCTTAACTCTTCCTGTATCTGAAGCAAGTAAAAAAGTCTGGACCAGTGGTTGTATCGAAATTGTTCGTAATTGGGCAGAACGCAATTTATATACGATAGCAGGCATTGCCCTGGGCATAGCTCTTAGTCAGTTATTTGTTATTTATCTAGCTAAGACATTAGAAGGTCAAATTGAGTTACAAAGGTCTCGTTGGCATTCCTGAGCTTGACTTCAGGCCACCTACCGCTATTCTATTCATTCTCCAGCAAGCAGGCAGGTGGCCAGCAACCATACGCAAAGTCAGGATGCTAAAGCAAACGTGAATGCTCGAATGGCATTGCTTGTTCTATTTGCAATCTCATTATACATACTGTGCATTTTATCTCTGATTAGATTCATTCTTTACTATTTTCATTTGTACTTAGGTAAAAAAAAATTTTTTACTTAATATCATGAGAGAGAAATTTGTATTCTTTTTATAATTCTTTTACTTCCATCATACTTATTATTATCTTTAAATACATTCATTTTTTAGCTTAGAAACACTTGGCCATTGTATCCAAATAGACTTTAGTCCTCTTTTTTAATACTAAATTGATATTTTAATACTAAGTGTATAAACTTCCGAGATATTTACATATCTATATACTTTTTTCTTTAGTATTAAGTCTGGTCTATATACGCAGACCACATCTTAATGTGTTCAAAGAAACTAAATGAGATTTATGTTATGATGCAGTTGTGTTTATCCAAGTTGGATAAAATTTTTATCTTAACTCAAATTTCTTGAAAACAATTTTTTATAATATTTTAGATGTGATCTTTGACAAATATGTAAGATGAAATGATGAAAATATTTTTTACATAGATAGCCATCTTTTTTTTTTTTTTTTTTTTTAGATAATATTTCATTTATAAAAAATTAAAGACAAATAACTAAGAGATAAATAATTTAATTTAATACCGTTTGTATTAATATATTATACATCTATTATACAGACATTTACTTGAAATATTTTTATGTCTAACAGCAGAATACGCACATTGCTTAAGTTACTAATTCATTAATTTTTTAAATATTTGTAATGTTATGATATAAGCATCATCAATTAGATTGAGAAGATATATTCTTTAAGTTGTTAATTTATATGTTCTTTTTTAATATGGTGCACATTAATTACACCTATGAGCAGAAGAACATCCAGTGCCAAAATCAGAATATTGTCTTACATTTTTCTTTAAAACAACAAATCTGACAATAATCTGGTATGAATGATTTGTTTATCCAATAGATATAAAATAAATTTACTGTGTCTTTTTATCAACAATAAATGTAAAACTGATATATAAAACCTTCTAGTTTGTAATAAACAAATATTATTCTAATATAACATCCTTGCCATCATCAACATGGTATAATTATTTATAAAGGGTTTATAATATACTCAAAAAAATGATAATTTTTAATACATTTATTTATAGAGGGTAAGATCTACAGATGCGTTATCAGAATATTCTAAAATAATGCATTGCCCATCAATAAGTGAAGAACTTTCAAATAGATCTATTAAAGGAGTATCCATTTTATTACATATGGATGCACCAGTATTATGATTGAATAAATGCAATTTATTTGTAATTGATGTGTTATTGTTGTTAGGAATTTTAAATATGTCAGCTGTTGAATCTATGATTTTACCAATGGTCCAATGTTTATTCATGTAAATACCTTTTGGGGCACTTGTAACTTTATTTGAAACGGTTATCGGTGGATATACAAGAAAATAACAGCGTTCATTCATGGGCACATTTTTAGGGCCTACAGCAACACTTTTCACACGCATCAATTGTACCTGATAACAATGAGAAAGTTTTATATATATATATATATATATATATATATATATATATATATATATATAAATTGTAATTATTTCAAATTGTTTTAGAATTATTTAAATTAATAGATAAATGTTTTTACATACTTTGTTAGCCATAGCAGTATTTTTTGACTTTTTTAAAGAATCAGAAACTTCTTGATCTACTATTGCTTTAGCTTGAGCAAATTGTCTCTTAGGTATTTGCCATTTCTTAAGTTTTTTTAATGTTTCATCGTCGTTAGTTTCAAAACAACCATGATATCTGTGCTTTAAGCAAAAATGAATCTTACATTTATAACATAACATTTCGACAGGTGACGTTTCTTTACAATCTTGTTTAGAACAAACAAAATTTGAAGATGTCTCTTTCGACGATATAACATCGGACAAAGATTTGGAACATTTATGCGATTCTGCATTAAAATGATTTTTACAAAATGTCAAATCACAATGATTACACTTAAATGGAAGAAAATCTAATACTTTACAATCGTCCAATGCACAACGTTCTCCAGTATTAGGAAATTCCATCTTTCTTTATTTTCATATAATAATTTTGTTTCACTATTACTTTTTAATAGATATTATCTTTTAATAATATTTTAACGCAATTTAATTATGTGAAGGTGTTGGTGAATGTAAATGATTTTCACTTAGTGTACCCAATGCCAGGTTATTCCACTTTTGCTCTAATTCTTTTAACGTCATGTGTGAATCACCATTGTCACTTTCAGGATCTGGTAGTTCTGCTACAGGTACTAAAATATCGTCGATAGGTAATTTTTCTTTACGCCAAGCCTCATCTATTAAATCTAATAATCTACCATCACCGCATACTTGGCTGTCCATTCCGTTATATTATTAAATAGTTTCAATTATGATTTTTCAACTTTAAACTCATTAAAACATAAAATATTTATTTTATCGAAAATCGTGATATCAACTTAAAGAACCACGCAATACCACGCAAGACCGTTTTATTATTTAATACAGGTTATTAAAATAAAAATCTAAATTCAATGTTCATATAAAAACATAAGATTTTAGTAAAAGTTACATTTCAATCGTCGTCGACAGTTGTCGCTAGTATCGCCTTTAAATATACCGCGTATTTGAATTTTCAATTTTCATATCGAATAAGATATTGAAAAAAAAATTGAAAATTTTATTCATTTTAAATATATTTACATTTACCCGTTTGTAATATAAAATATCGTCAAAAGCTTATATATTTTTAATTTTGAAATATTCTTAATTTATAGATGTATTTCTTTTAATAAATTCAAAATAAATTATTTTTATTTACAAAAAAAATATATATATATATATATATATTTTATGATTGAACGTGATCTAATCTAAACGATTTTTGAGTTCGTCGTTTTCAGATCTACGGGGCGTTCTAAGAATGGCGATGAGAATCAAGTCACGCTTTCCAAATATGGAAAGGATGAGATTAACCCACTCTCATCGGATGATCGGTTTATTTTGTCCTCCTCCTAAAATTCGTAAAAGGACATTGTCGAAGATATACATATGTATAGAACGTGAAAGTTATCGAAGGTGAACAAGTTTGGTTAATAATATCTTTATATATATTAGTCTCTTATCTATAAATAAGTAATCGTTCAATGATCTAATAAAAAACAATGGACCTCTACTACAATATATGTATATATATATACATATCTATATATATATATATATATATATATATATATATATATATATATGTATATTAGGAGGAAAAACATAATAGTCAATAATAATTATGAATTATTTATCAAGGATAAGAAAAGTAAATCTTTTCAAGGTGATCGTTAAAAAGAAAAAAAAATCGAATTGACGATTCCTGTTTAGAGTCTAGTGATATATAACTCAATGATATAACGGTATTATGTATATATATATATATATATATATAACGATCTTAGAAGTCGCAGATTTGTGGTTGTTAAAGATAGGTGTGTACTCAACAGTATTTGATCACCCGTTGGACGAACAAAACGCTTCGTCGAACGCATTCTCAGTCGACGAAGGAACGTTCTCTCGCGTGGTTCCTATCTACAGGTGTGCGAGTGATCATCTCCCTTAGAGAGACGAGAGTGTAGCACATCTAAGTATGGGTAAGTAATAATATTCGATCATCCATTCATTCATTCATTTAATTAATTAAATCGACGAATAAAAATATGTCGTACCTTGATTCATCGATTCCGTTACATTACCTATCGTTTTTTTTTCTTTTCTTTTTAATCTTTAAATTTTGATTCTTACCGTCGAAAAATCCCCATAGGAAATATTTAGACTTGAAACAATGAGCTTGATCCAAGAGTATAAATCATGGGTATTTCTTAATCCAACGCATTAAGAAGAGAAAGTTCGAGAGGTTCTCTCGATCGTATATGTATAATTTTTTTTTTTATTATTTTCTTTCGTGTTTCTCACTTTTATGAGAAGATTCGCCATTTTTCTTTTCTTTTTCTTACGTGACTCACTCACCATACCTTTATTATAATCGAATCGATGATTGAATTTTCGATCCTCAGATATAGGATTTTGATTGACTAACGTTGTTTTTTTTTTACCGTTATACACGTATAAAATTGAATGAGATTTAATGTTTGAATTATTTCTTTCAGTGAGTCATTATATTCACTGAAAGTATTTTTTAAATTATACAAATATAAATATATATTTTTTTTTTCCCAAAGTATATATCTAAACTTTGTTGTATTTATACAAAAAAAAAATTTTAAAAGTATAAAAGTATAAATTATAAAAGTATTTTGCATTATTTCAAAAGCATCGAATTGATGATAACATAAATATAGAATATTAAAATTGAATAAATATAAAGTAAATTAGATTATTATATATATATGCATACATACATTTTTTTAAATTTATTTCGTTCTTCCAGATATCTGTCTACGCTTTGATATGTTTATGCAAAAAAATAAAAATTTAGTTTAATTGATCTAAGGTGTTATAAAAATATTTTACATTGTTCTAAAAACATTCAATTGACGATTAAATATAAAATATTAGAATTGAACAAATATAAAGTAATTTATTTTATTGTATTATATAAAAAAATATATATATACATATATAGAATGAACGTAACATATGTTTTGGTATCAGCATGTTCGTCTTAAAAAAAAAAAAAAAATAGAACAAAAAATACAAAAAAAAAAAAAATAATAAAAAAAAGAAAAAGAAAAGAAAAAAAAATCTACTTGATTAGATATTAAAAAGAAAAAAAATCGTGAATCGTCGAATTTGATATAGACCAAGAGAACATTATAGTATCGTCGTAATCGTTGATAATTCACGTGAGTTTGTAGAGCTACGTACATATATAGGGTCAGTAGCTGCAATTACATTGCAGTTATCATATTAACTCCGTAGTCCTCGCTCGCAATCTTTCTGATTAGACCTCGTCCTAAACTCAAATGGAGAATGAGTCTAAGGCCAGTGCATACATACTTACATCCTCCTATGGTTTCATCTCCCCACGAAGAGAGGATGATGGTACATTGGAATTTTTCAATGTTGAAAGATATTATACGTTCAACGTTAAAAAATTCATTTTTATATCATGATATATATATATTATATAATTTATATATATATATATATATATATATATATATATATATAAATTAAATTTTTGTACTGAGATGAGATACGAAAATGATTAAAAGCTTGTTCATGCATGATAAATATAATGAGAGAACAAATTTCAAACGCGTTTCGATTTATTATATTTTATCAATTTTCAACAGCGATAATAGTTAGATCGTTTTGCGCAATGTCGAATGTAAGCCAATACAAAATTGAATAGATATCCTTTCGCCATATTTTTTTTTATATACACACACACATACATATCGAGTTACGTTTCCTTTCGTTCCATTTACCTTCGTTTTCTTTTTCATTCTTTTATTTGTTTTTCTTTTTTTTTCTTTATTTATTTATTTTTTTTTTCTTTTTTTTTTTTTAGGTGTCACTCACGCCAGCAGTCTATTCGTCGTGCTCGCTGTAAGTGAAACGTTTAATTAAAATGTCACTTGAGATATTTTCTTAACTTTCTTTGTAGTATCGTAATGTTTACTTTAGGCTTATTTGATATGTCAAAAATTAAAGTTAAACATTATGATCTCATTGTTAAATGATTCGTCGATTAAAAACTAAGACGAAAGTTATTATATATTCTTGTTTTTCTTTCTTTTTTTTTTTTTTTTTTTTTTTTTTTTTTTTTTTTTTTTTTTTTTTTTTTAATTGTAATCTTTTTATTTATTTAATTATTTATTTTTTTTATTTTTTTGTTTTTTAATTATAATTATTAGGTATTTCTAATAACAGTGGAGGGAGGCGATATAATACGCAAGAGTATTGTTTTCGACAAGAACACGCCGGACGTGTTTTATTGTCCTCAGCATAAGCCAACGGGATTTGAAAAAATGATCGTTAAAGCTAAACCTTTATGGAGGCTTTGTCAATTCGAGGGTAAACCCATTCCGGAAGATTATAAAAGTGACTGTTACAATGACGTAGATGAATCGGAGTACGCTTGTAAGGAAAAATACAGAATTATGGTGAGTAATATCATAATAATAATAATAGTAACAATAATAATAATTATTATTAAAATATAATTAATAATTATTATTATTAATACTATTATTATAATATTAATAATTATTATTATTAATACTATAATAATAATAATAATAATAATAATAATAATAATAATAATAATAATAGTAATAATTATTATTATTAATATTATTATTATAGAAAGTTTCGTTAACATGGAAATATTGAAATCGTTATGATCATAAGAATTAAAAACATATTACACTTGTCTGTTGTACAATAACAAGTATTAATTCATGCGAATCGATCGAAGTGATGAGGAAGTTCTTGTATAAGCATATAATTACGAATTAGTATATTATTTGATAAAGCCATTTTTTCCACCACTCCCCCTTCACAATTTTTACCGTTACTCTAGTCTCTTACAGGGTGTTATATAAAATGCACGAGAGAGAAAGAAAGAAAGAGAGAGAAAGAGAGAGAGAGAGAGAGAGAGAGAGAGAGAGAGAGAGAGAGAGAGAGAGAGAGAGAGAGAGAGAGAGAGAGAGAGAGAGAGAGTAAGAGTGAGAGAGACAGAGGAAGAGGGAGAGGAAGAGAGAGAGAAAGAGAAAGAAAGAGAAACGTAGCTCTTAAAAAGTAATTATTTTCTTTCTTTTTTTTTTTCCCTTCCTTTTTTACCTTTCCAACGTATATTTACAACGAACAATATCGTAGATTCTTCTCTTCATTTTTTTTTTTTTTTTTTATCTTCTGTATATCATCTCTTTTTCTTTTTTAAGCCGATATTTTTTTTACATTTTATAACTTTTTTCCAGACAAAAAAAAAAAAGAAAAAAGAAAGAAAGATCCCTCTTTTGAATAATCATCAATGAAACTACATTCTTCGAAGTAACGATTAATTTTCAATTGTTTGCAAATGCCCTGACACATCGTATCATGCTACATGCTCTACATTCCGAATCATGCGAATTCATCGTAACACACCACGTGTAACCTTTTGGTGTCGGTTCTTTTTTTTTTCTTACAGAAACGAATCAAAAATGCAGAGGGAGACGCAAAACCCATTGACAACGACTACATCGAGAAATAGATGAAAATGACGATGCTGCACGGCCAATCTACACGCAAATCCATAAACACTATATAAAAGAAAAAAAAAAAAAAAAAAAAAGAAAAAAAAGAAAACAAAAAAGATACAAAACAACCCCCAAATTTATATCTTACTAATGCTCGGGCTGCGCTGTCGCAGGGCTCAATATGTGTACAGTAATATTGACTAGGAGGTGGCAGAAACACATATAACGTATTTTCACCTAATCATTCAATGGCCCGCTTCGCTTTTATTCTTGTTCTTTTTTTTTTTTTTTATATATATATAAATATATATATATATATTTTTTTTTGTTTTTTTTTCTCCCACTACAAATTACGATGTACTTGTAGATATTGACAAAGTGTAATGTATTAACGATCAGTCAAAAAAACAAATTTAAGAGAAAAGAAATTTAAGTCGAGAACATGAAAGAACATAATACGCTTGTAATACATAAGTATGTTTTATATATATATATATATATATATATATATATATATATATATATATATACATATATATAAAGATAGAAAGTAACATTTGTGTAATTTATATTATAAAAAGAGACGATATCTTTTACAAATACAAAAATACGATCCTTACAATCCGAGACTTAGATATAAACATTTAATATATTATTTATCAAGTTTTTATATTATTCTTTTTAAAACTGTACGAAGAATGACAGTGTATCCTATTCCTAATAATCCGATTCGTTTGTATTATTGAAACAAAAGTAATGAAAAGAAAAAAAAAAGTGAAAAACTTGTACCTTTTACAATATTAATAATAAAACTAACACTGATAGAGAGCTTGGCAGTTAATCATTAACTCTAAGACCTATGGTATGGTTTTAGACGCCTAATGCTGCTTAATATTTCAGTCATTGAAAAAAAAAGATAATAATTATGAGAATTCTTCACAAAAAACTGTAATATTGTAATAATAATGATAGTTTCTTAACAAATTCATGTATATATAATATTTGAATTGTCTTCGGGATATTCTTTTTTTTTATAAATAATATTACTTTCTTACAAAAAAAAAAGAAATAAAAAAAAAAAAAAACATAAGAAAAAAAAAAGATCTAAAAACATTAAATCACTAGCCACTACGATCTTGTTTTTACTATATAAAAAAAAACGACTTAATGACACTTTTGTAAATACATATATAATTAAATCTTTTCTTGCATTTATTATTCCATTTATAAATGCAATACATTAATATACATGCATACATATTGAAATTATAATACGCAACGAAACAGAAACTACGGGATTTTTTCAAGAGTCTATTTCTACAACGTCCGGTACGTAGCCATTTTAGTTTAGTTAATTATACGTAAATAAAATTTTTTCTTGAACGATAAATGAGAGAGAGAGAGAGAGAGAGAGAAAGAGAAAAGTTTGTTAATTTTTATAAATTTGCAAAACAATATATTTATAATTTTAAGTGTTAATATAATTCTTAAATTTCCCTTGTTTTAGATGAGACTCCATCCACCGGGAAGCAATACGCCATATAACGGGACGCGTCTTTCGAAATTTCTTACCGTCGATAAAGATGAATATGTAAAAAAGAACCAAGTATAATTTTATTCTATTATTTATTTCTTTGAGACTTACATTTAAAGGAAGAATATATTATTGTATTATGTTAAAAAAAGAAAAAGATTAATATATCAATAATAATATATCGGTATCGCTTAATTATATACATGGTAAAAAACTATATACAAGTATTATGTCTGTTACATTGTTCAATTTGTACACATATAGGTATTTTAAAATTGTTGAGATCTATTAACAAATATTCATAATTCAAATTGCATGCAATTAATTAATTACTTTTTTTTTTCTTTAATGATAAAAGAAAAATGTTTATTATGTTAATTATTGTTCAACAATAATTAAATAAAATAGAATTTCTTCTGTAATGAAAAATATTTTTTATACATAGTTATCGTGTATTTATATAGATGTAGTAAAGAATTTAGTGGACATTCAAATCAAATTATTTACGAAATTAAAACTTCATTATGACTTGTGTCATATATATTTCATTGTTTTTAAATTAATTAAAAATTAATTTATAACTTTATTTCTTAAATTAATTATGAAAACTGTACAAAGAGATTTTTCATAAATAGATATTTTTACAATATATCAATATTCTTTTAATATTTATCTAATAATACGTAAAGAACAAATAACAGATTCAAACAGAAGTACATTTATTTATCTTACTGATATAGAAATATATAGATATTTCGTTGGGGGGAAAAAAAAAAAAAAAAAAAAAAAAAAAATATAAAAAAAAATAAAAAAAAAAAAAATAAACCCTGTTATGTTTAATTCCTCTAATAAATCTATATTATGTTAAATGCATAATAAAATATATCCAAAGAAAATAAATTTTAGTATTTATGAATTAATTAGTATTTTATAGAACAAGTTTCCCACCGTTTGAAGCTCTAATTTGTGCAACTTGTTCCGGTGTAAGAATGAGTTTACTTCCGTTAGGTAATGCCAAAGCATAATAATTGCCTGTTTCATTGACAACGACGACCAATTGTGTCGGTGTATTTTGCGTTGGTGGTGCTGGTTTAATTGGCGTTATTGATATACAACCTTGATGTATTCGTTGCATAATTTCACGTGGAATAATATTTTTTAATATATTATTTGTTATATCCGAAACAGATTCCTGACCTTCTGAATTTTTTTTATCATTTATTGTTTTTTCATTAATGATCTCAACTTCGTCGTCACTGTCACTTAGAATGATCAATGATGTAGTCTTTTTTTTCGGTTCATTTAAATGTTCACTTGAGTTTTTTCGTTTCGTAAAGTTTGAATTTTGTATACGTGGTTTTATAGTACTACTAGACTGTTTAGTAATACTAGAAAAATCGAATTGTGAAGTCGACGCTTCCTTCTGTGTTATTCTATTTATGTTATTGTCCGGTTGTACTATATTAATTAAATTCGATTTTTCAGGCGAATATCTTGGTTGACTTACAATTTCTTGTGACGTTACAATACATGGTACTTGTTGTATTATAGATGGTTGTTGTATCGGAACAAAATTTGATTGTTGATTGTAAAGAACATACTCCGGTCGTATTTCTTGCATATAATAATTTTGTTGAAACGAAGGCACAATATTTGGAATTAATGTATTTGTTTGAACGAAAGTATTTGATTGAGCCAAACCAATTACAGTTGGATTTGACTGTACAAAATAGCTTACACCATTCACGTTGTAATTGGTTTTATATTGATTTGTTAAAGTATCAGTCGGTGTTTCATCTTTTATATCTAATTCTGAATGGACGCTATCTACATAATTTATTTTATTTTCCTCTGTGACAGATATCGTCCTTACTGAATTTTCTTGTATGCGTGGATATATAATTAGATTAGAAGTAGAAGATGCCGTTAATTCCTCTGTATAATTGGATATCTAAAAATTGGACTCTTTTGATTAAGACATTCTTGTTCTAATTTATTATGATTATTCTTATTATTTACCTTATTACTCGATGTAGTTTCTTTATGCGATGTAGTTTCTTCAATCGAATTTGTTTTCTTGTTTAGACTTTTGTTTTGTGACGTTCTTAATCTTTTATTATTGGCTAAAAGAAAAAAAAACAAAAAAACAAAAAAAAAAGGAAATAAAATGCTTGAACGTACAAAGAACATTTACGTTCTGATAAATTTTGTTTAAAGATACTCACACGAACGTTTATTTTTCCGTCTGCGAGAGCTTGGTAGAATCCAATCTTGGTCTGAGTCCTCTTTCTCTGACCAATAGTTATCTTGTCTGTTTTTCGTAGAAGAGTTAGTAACGGATGTATAGGTCTGTGAGCAGGGAGGCGCGTAGATGGCCTTAATGTCGGTCCATTCACCCAACTCGCTCTCATCGATTTCCTCATATGGATACAATTGTTCTCTGTACGAGGAAATTCCTCGCGCTCGTAGAACTCTTCGATTTTGTTGTTCTTTAATAAAATCAATTAATTATCATGATAATAAATAAAGAAGATTAATTGTAATAAAAAGTATCTATCTCCATAATATTTAAATATATATTATTTACCTTCTTCTTCTTTTCTATCACACTTTTTATATTCTTCATGTGCTTTTCCTTCATTATTTTCCCCATTTTTTTGTTGCTCTCTAACGTCTGATTTTTCATCGTGTTCTTTGCTTTCTGATTCCTTAGATTCTTTCTCTTTTCCACTTGTGCATTGTTCCTCGTCGTTGATACATTCTGATGTTGAGACACAACTTTGGGTACTAATTGGGGATATGGTAGATTTCGATAACGTCTGTAACGTTGCATCATTGGTAGTTGGCAATTGATAGTCCTGTGATCCAACAATCCACCAATTAGACCTGACACCATTTTCACCGGATGAATCCTGACCCTCCATACTGCTACAACACACAGCAGCTTGACTGCCATACATACTTCACAAAGATTTGAATAATAATATTTTGGAGGATGTTTGTGTAGTACAAACAGTACATGATAAACTCATTGTAGCAATTATCAGAGGTTTCAGGTTTACATTAAAGTCAGGTAAGATTCTATATATCACATATATATTTATGAGATGAAGATTGATAAGAAAATAAATATGGTTATGAAATGATAATAAACTTTTTTTTTTGATTTAATGACATACCCAATTTTAAAATTAGTCCATTCCTTTAGTAGCTTTGCTTTAGCCTTTTTTGTTGTATCTTTCAGAACCGCTTCAACTTTTTCAACCGTATTTAATAGTTCTGTCAATTTATTTACTAATTGTATTTCATTCGAAGAATTTGATTCTAACTGAAAATTAAATATCAATTAATAATATAAAAACAATCATTATATAAATCTTTAATGTGTATATATGTATAAAATATGTCTATATTCTTGTAAAAACTTACTGTATTTAATGAAAAACTTGAAATAAGATCTTTCAAAGTTTCAACGCTATCAGCTACGAGTCGAAAATTGGATACACTAAGTTCTTCGAGCATTTTTTTAAAAGAGGCCGTTTCATTATCTCTCTTAGGATTATTTTCAATTTCTTCTTCTGTGTTAATATCAGTATTTATAATTTGGCTAATATCATTACAAAATGATTTATGTTCCATTTGATTTCCTTTTATCCTAAGACTTCTTCTAATAGAATTTAGTGTTTCATTTATTCCAAGAACTGATTCATTAACGATATTACCATTTCTTTTTATACCTTTCATTTCTCTATCATTTGGTGATCTCTTTCTGTGTCTAATATTATATTTATTAATAGTATCAGGTACATCACTTGAAATACTCTCCATTTCATTAATTATAGATGTTTCAGTTTCACTTAACTTTTCAACATTCGACCTTGATGTTGATGAATCTAAATCATTAACCTCTGCGGAACTTGAAAGTGTTTTATCCTTTAATATTTTATTTCCAACCATTATAATTTCATTTAATTTTTCTTCATCCACTTTTGAATCATTAGATAAATTATCCGAACAATATTTAATTGAATCAAATTCATTTGATTCCAAATTATTTTCAGAATTTTCAACATCAATCTTTATATCCGTCGCATTTTCTGTTGTTACATGAGACTTAGTATATTTTATATTTATCTCTGACTTTAATCTATTTAATAATTGATTTATTATTGCTATACCATCTTTTTCATCGGGGGATCTAGAAAATCCTTTAAATATACTTTCTGTAACATTTGTATCAATTAACTGACTTTCATTTGATACATCATCATTACAACTAGTCGAGTTTATATTGCTATTGTTTGTATCACTTGACATTGTACTTATTTCAGATGTTATTAATGAATTTCTTGTTTCTGTTCTGTCAAGATTGTCTAAATTTATATTACTATTATTAATATTACTACTTGTGCTCGTAGAATCTAAATCTATATCTTCACTAGTTTGTGAATTCATGGCACTATCAATACAATTACAAATATAAAATTGTTTATCTATTTTCTTTTCTTGAAGTCTTGCAGGCTTATCCTTTTTTATTTTTGAACATAATCCATTTTGCCATCTGGGCTTTCGTTTTCTACTTCTTTTTACTTTTGTTTTCGTTTCGGATTCTACTACTGTCTTTGGTATTATAGGCTAAAATAATTTTGGATTAATAGGTTCAAAAATTTTTTAATGAAAAATATAAATTTGTTAAATTTAATGTTAATATACCTTTGTAGTGGAAAGAATATTATTATTCATACAATGTCTATATATTCTCAATTCACTATTGATAAACTGTGGAAAATAAATATATTTAGCTCCATGACGATCGGTTCCTAAATTTATTTCAATTTGATCTTCCCACGCATGATTAGCAATTTCTTCTTGAATTGTTTTTCTCGTATGCTGTAAAGAAGATGTTAGATTATTAACCTTAAATAGTTTCTTTTTAGTCACAAAATAAATTATTATTATTTTTTATTTACCATGAGAGTATCACAGATAGTTTTTAAAAGCCATACTCGTTGTTTGAAACTCAAATCTTCAAAGTCTCTACCAGCAAATATGGATAACTCAGGAAAAATATTCCAAAATTCTGGTTCAATACCAATAGTTTCTAGAACCTAGATTATCACAAAAACATTTAAATTTTACCCCTTGATCAAATAGATATTCATTTAAGAAAAATTATAGATTTAATTAAATCAATAAACACTAACTTTTATCACATCTCTATGCTTTCCATAATAAATTTTAAACCAATTGTTTACTTTATGCATTAAGATATTCGTCCAAAATTCATAGGGCATTGGTGGTATTTTTTGCAATTTCGGTTTACTTATAGGACAGCTAAAATGATAAATGATGAATTAATCATATAAAAGTTTTAATAATTACATTGTCAAAATTCTAATATATATAAATAATAATATCTGCAAATATAAAATATTATCATACTAATAATATACCTTAATAAACATGTCATAATATATGCTAGTTGTTTCGAAGCTCTTGGTATAGCGAGCATTCTTTCCACTTCATAAATAGTTATTGGTGGTATATTTAGAATGTCTTTGGTTAAGTAAAGAAATTGACAAATTTGTGGTATCTAAATAAAAAAATTAAGGTAGAAAAATGTATATACATATATATATATATAATAAAAGTCATATTGCACGTTAATAAGATTAAAAATGTACGTACTTCCCACATAGATTTCATTTCTTCTGTTAATCTTTTTGGAAAATAACTATTTTCTTCCCAATCAATTGCGGGCTCGTCCTCGCCCTCTTTACATTTTTTATTTTTCTTCGACATTTTTCCTTGACTGAAATATTATTATTATTATTATTATTATTATTATTATTATTATTATTATTATTACAATTAAATATAATTATGTCGTTAAATAATTTGAAGTAAACTCGTAATAATTGAACTATGCAAAAGTAAATATACGCTACTAAGGTAATAGATAGAATCACATGTATATTTAAAATGTAATTTTCTAACATTTTCATTAGTCATGTTATTGGTATAAAATAAACGATAATGATTCTTTATTATTCATGAGAAAGAAAAAGACGGCATTAACTATATTTGGACTAAGGCTGTCTTCGTAATCGAATAAGTTATTTCATCTAACAAACATGTCGCAATTATTTTTTACTTTATTTTTTATCATTTTTTAGATAATATTATAAAATGATATACATAAGTATATCATTTATATATATATATATATATATATATATATATATATATATATACATATATATATGAAATGTAATAAAACAAATAATGGTAAAAAAAAATATCTTGAAATGTTTCCATTCGATTTTAATTAAGTACCATTAACATAAATGCAAGTTCATCATTAGTCAGTGTAATTCTTATTTCAAATCTCACAATATTTTTTATTTAAGATTCAATTATATATACATACATATATCTACAAATTTATATGTATATAATATGTAATTGCAAAGGATTTATGGTCCAATTTGAGATAAAATTATGATCAAATGTTTAATGGTATCAAAAAAAAAGTAATGTAAAAAAAAATAAAAACCAAAAAGAAAAAAAAAAGAAGAAAAAAAAAAGAAGAAAAAAAAAAGAAGAAAAAAAAAAAGAAAACAGGAAAGAAAAGAAAAGAAAAGAAAAGAAAAGAAAAGAAAAGAAAAGAAAAGAAAAGAAAAGAAAAGAAAAGAAAAGAAAAGAAAAGAAAAGAAAAGAAAAGAAGAGAAGAGAAAAAAAGAGAAAAGAAAAGAAAGTGACAAATGCGTTGTGCTTAATATTTTCACTGTTACATAAGACAGCACTTTTCATAGTTATC